AGCTATTGTGATTTATTAATCCATGGTAAATCCTTATTAATCCTTAATCCAAATTCAAAACACCCCCCAATACAAGGTTCCAACGGCCCACGGCTTCTGTCAACAAATCCTTTTTTTAAGGTGAGAAACTGCAAGTTTCTGGTGTTAGGCTATTTGGCATAATATTATTATGTGTCTTTTTATATTCTAAAGTAAAATATGAATACATTTAATAAGTTTTATTTATATATGCATTTAAGAATTTAAATTTAAATTTTTTTTTTTCCAAATTGATTAACAGAGAACCCCAAAAAAATCCTGTTTAAAAACATTTGCCTTTAATATGTCTAAAAAACAGAGACTGTTGTGATGTTTCTTTTTTCCCTGGTAGAAATGTAAGAATATCAGCATATATTTAAAGAAATAATGTCTCAATCAATCAATCATCCACCCATTTATCCATCCATCCATCAATCGATATCCAAATATTTTAGGAAATAATGTCTCAATCATTCATTTATTTATCCATCCATCCATCCATCCATCCATCCATCCATCCATCAATCGATATCCAAATATTTAAAGAAATAATGTCTCAATCATTCATTTAATTATCCATCCATCCATCCATCCATCCATCCATCCATCCATCCATCCATCCATCCATCCATCCATCCATCCATCTATCTATCTATCTATCTATCTATCTCCATATATTTAAAAGAAACATTGTTTGATTTATCCATCCATTCATCCATGACACTTCAAATAAATAAGTAATAAAATAAGATGTATTAATCTAATGCATTAATCAACGTAATATTAAGGTTATTAATATTTTTGTTAAAAAAACACCTGAAGGACTCCAATATGGCGAGAAATAAGATACTCTTCTCTGTTGAGACCAAGATAGAACATTTTTGTCTTAATTCTAAGTGGTATGTGTGGAGAAAACCAGGCACCGCTCATCACTTGTCCAATACAGACCCAACAGTGAAGCATGGTGGTGGCAGCATCATGCTGTGGGGGTGTTTTTCAGCTGCAGGGACAGGACAACTGGTTGCATGCGAGGGAAAGATAAATGTGGCCAAGTACAGGAATATCCTTGACATAGAACTTCTCCAGGAGTGCTCAGGACCTCAGACTGGGCTGGAGTTTTACCTTCCAACAAGACAGAGTCTAAGCACACAGCTAAAATAACGAAGGAGTGGCTTCATAACAACTTTGTGACTGTTCTTGAATGGCCCAGCCAGAACCCTGACTTAAACCTAATTGAGAGACCTAAAATGGCTGTCCACCAATATTTTATTATTATTATTATTATTATTATTATTATTATTATTATTAATATATTAATATTAATTAATATATATATTATTATTATTATTATTATTATTATTATTATTATTATTATTATTATTATAGGTACTGGCCCAATCAGGATGTTTGTGCTTTTAAACATTTCCAGTTCTGGGAAAATCTGCATATTAGATTTTAATGAAAAAATGTGTTATATAGATCAGAGAGGACATTTAAACTGCCTAGTTCAAATTAGCAGAAATGTAATCACTGAAAGCACAAAAGGCTAGGATGCATTTAAATTTTGAGGTAATACATAGAAAGTCTGATGTTTTGTGCAGGTTTATGCTAAATACTGCATTCATATACAACATTTTTCAGTTGTGCGGAAGATACTGACTTCCTAAGCTTCGAGCTGATCATTAATTAAAGCAGAACTAAACAGGGCAAGTCACGTTATAAAAAGGGAGCCAATACCACTAAATACATGCATTTTATGTGCTCAATGATATACACTCAGAGATGTATAAAGTACTAGAGACCCATACTTAAGTAAAAGTACAAGTGCTTTATCAAAAATTGACTTGAGTAGAAGTAGAAGTGCTCTTTAAGCACCATACTTAAGTGGAAGTACAAAAGTATTCAACATTTTTTGTACTTAAGTATTGCAAGTAGTTTATTTCAAAATTTACTACTCAAGTACTGAAAGTAAAAGTACAAGTATTGTGTTATGTAGTTATTAATACACTAATTATTTTGTTTATTTTAAATATCTTTTTTGGGGTACTTGATTTAGCAGAACGAAAAGAAACATGGTTTACACTCTAAAAACTGCTGGGTTGAAAACAACCCAATTTGAGTTGTTTTGGTAACCCAGCGCTGGGTAAAAAAGGGACAAACCCAACGCTGGGTTACTTTAACCCAGCAAGTTGGGTTACAAGTTTAACCCAGCATGCTGGGTTGTGATTTTAACCCAACTATTAGTTAAAAATTACTACACTGCTGGGTTGAATGTAACCCAAAATGGGTCAGAAATTTAATCTAGAAACTGATGATTAAAATCACTAAAATAAAAACAATTCTACAGCAATACATAGTTGTTCAGTAATGGAATTTTATTTATGACAAAAGATAAAATGTGTCCAAATGAATTTGAGATTTTTCCCATCTGCACCTCAGCATTAACCCTTTGACTGCCTGCTCTACCAAATGGTTGACCTCGTTTTTACTGTTTTAAATAATGACTGTTAAAGTCATAAGAAAAAAGATGAATTAGTGTTCAAAATATTTCTTTTAAATATATATATATATATATATATATATATATATATATATATATATATATATATATATATTTTTTTTTTTTTTTTTTTAATTGGTCTTACACATAATTTTTCAGATTTTTCATAATTCTGGTACTTTTACCATAAACATACATATCAATCATTTGGTAGAGGTTGATATTTTAGAAATTATAACATGTGTTAAAATGTACTGATTGTGTTCAATAGCGACATTAGCAGTTGAGAAATGCAATCCAATTTTTTTTCTTGAAAGGGTTGTTAAAGGGTTAAGACGATTTCTGTGAAAATTTATCAAACTGTATCACAGAAACACTGACTAAAGTTCAGTAACAATGCATCAGACTGAAATCAGACAAATTACCTTAAGAAAATGCATATTTGAAATACATTCAAAAAAATTTGCATCATTTATAAATAAGGAATCATCAGTAAGGCAATTGCAATGTTATTGCAGAGTAGAGAAAAACAATAGTATAAGGAAGTAATAATGAAAATGCATCTAAATGACTGAAGTCAGAAAGTAATTTGAGCACAAACATCAACATATTCTCATATAAATCATCAACTGCAATGCAGAAAAAAATATGTGAAAGTAATAATGAAAAGGCATCAAACAGCTTGAAAAAACAAAACAAACAATAAAAACTAAGAAAATACAAATTTTATATTAAGAAAAAATAAGAAAACATTTTATAACTTTCCCTTTAACAATTATGTGCAAACATCAATATATGAGCTATAAAGCAATCATCAGTAAGGATGATCAAGTTCAATGTAAATGCAGTTTTGAAGAAAAAAAGAGATATAAAAGTTAAAATGAAACCTGAGGATGGAAGCATTTTAAAACAAATTTGAAATAGGAAAACTTTTTTTAACTTTTACTCGAACAATCATGTGCAAACATCAATCCTGAGATATAAAAGAGTCTGTAAGAAACATTAGTTGCAATGTAACTGCAGTGTAGAGTGTCTTAAAAAATATCTAGTCCATTATTATGTGCCGTCATCATAGCAAAGAGAAAAGAAATCAGTTATTAGAAATGAGTTATTAAAACTATTCTTTAGAAATGGGTGTCATGGTGGCACAGTGGGTAGTACGATTGCCTCACAGCAACAAGGTCGGTGGTTTAAGCCTCAGCTGGGTCAGTTGGTGTTTCTGTGTGGAGTTTGCATGTTTTCCTCGTGTTCGTGTGGGTTTTCTCTGGGTGCTCCTTTTCCCCCACAATCCAAAGTACAAGTTAAAGAACACAGAATCCAAGGAAGCAGTGAGGTCACAGTATTAATGATTACTGTTTGTCAGCAAAAATTAATGCTAGCAGAACCCTTACTGCTAGTGTCTCCTCCCCAGGATGTCCATAAACCACAGTCTGCCACACCAGGGAACACTGCTTGGGGTAGTTCACACCAAAGATGTAGAATGCTTTATAGCAAACGTCCACTTTGGCAAGTAATGTACTTTGCAATAATAAATAGCACAGCACGTGAGCAAAGGCTTGAAAGAAGTGGTGGTCTCCAAGGATGAGAACATGAGGAAACTCAATAGATTCTTGAATTCAATGGATGAAGATACTCAGCAATATTGGTCCCAATCTGAAAAAATAAATAGAAGTAAGATTTATTAAAAACTCAAAAGTGTAAAAGTTAAATATCTTTAGAGTTAACTTTAGAACACCTAAAATACCATTAGAAGCAATTAAGGCCATAACACACCAAGCTATCAGCCAGTGTTGGCATTAGTTAACCACTGACCATGGCACCATGCTGCAATTTTTTGGCCCGAGTGAAGATGACAATGCAACAACAGGTTTGCCTAAGGAACTTTTTTTAATAAGTAATAGTAAGGCAAGATGAGCATTTGAAATTATTAAGTATTTAATTGTGTTTTCTTCATGAGAATAGATAAGACCCTTCTTCCTGAGCTGGGACTGTTTGCAACCGTATTTGTATCATTTGAAGCCGCATTTAAATTTTCTTTAAAGACTTCAAAAATGAGGCACAATCTCAGTCCAAGATGGATAAAATTGCTGAAATATTTTCCTAAAAAAAAAATCTTTCTGACTGAAGAAAGAATGACATGAACATCTTGGGTGACAAGGGGGTGAGTACATTATGTGTGAATCTTTTGTTGGAAGTGGACTTCTCCTTAAATGAAAATAATTGGCTTACAGGCCATTTAGAGTTTGTTGCATTCACTATCTATATAAAGCATCTTATCACTAAAAATTTGAAACCATAGCTGTGACCAAATCACAACTTTCACAAAACCGTCATCTTTTTATGTTTTACGCAGCAGATGCCCTTTCAACTGCAACCCATCACACTCTCATTTACACACACACTATGGACAATTCAGCTTACCCAATTCAGCTACACCGCATGTCATTGGACTGTGGAGGGGAAACCCATCCAAGGCTCCAGCGACCATCTTGCTGTGAGGCGACAGCACTACCCACTGCACCCCCATGCCACCCTAATAACAAACATAAAAATAACATTTTCATTGTTAATAAAATAACTAAGACAATCATTATGCATTAAATGCATCATTATGCATCGAGAAACCTTTAATTGAATCCTTACCCTCTGAATTGTATTCAAATTGACCTAAAAACGAGGAAAGGTTCGCTCCTGTGCTAAAAATAAAACAAGAGAATGTCACTGGTTGCATGAACAGCAGATTTTAAAAAATAACCAGACAAAAACAAATTGGCATTAGAGTTCAATCTCTCAGTTTAAAGTGTGAAGTGGCTAATGATTACTAGGGCTGCCCCCTAATAATTGAATAACCATTAGTCAACTAAAAATTTATTATTCATTCATTCATTTTCTTTTTAGCTTTGTCGCTTTATTAATCTGGGGTAACCACAATGGAATGAACCACCAACATATCCAGCATAAGTTTTATGCAGCGAATGCCCTTTCAGCTGCAACCCATCACTGGGAAACAAATACTCATTCACACACATACACCATTGACAATTTAGTCTACTTAATTTACCTTTACCACGTCTTTGGAAACCGGGGCACCAGGAGGAAACCCACACGAACACGGGGAGAACATGCAAACTCCACACAGAAAGGCCTATTGACCCAGCCAAGGATCGATCAAGTGACCTTGTTGCTATGAGGCGAATGTGCTACCCACTAGTTGCAGAAAAAAAGTCCACACTGGCAAAGTCAATGTATGCTGCATGAATCCGCTGTGTAAAAAATATGCTGGATAAGTTGGCGGTTCATTCCGCTGTGGCGACCCCAGATTAATAAAGGGACTGAGTCAAAAAGAAAACGAATTAATGAATAAATGGTTTATTAATAAATCTGTAATTATTCAACTAATGCTTCAAATGAACATCACAAGTCAACCAGACAAATATTTAGACAAGGGCAGCCCTAATGATTACAATGAACCAAGTAAAATATTATTACATACCTTCAAATGTGGGGATTAACTCCTCAAGATTGCATTCTTTTAGTTTGATTTTCACGCAATTATCCATCTGAAAAAGAATAACAGATAAAAGCGTTTAAGCAAAATTAAGTAAAAAAAGATCATGTTAGCCAAAAGTCACTATATCACAAAAATACTCCTAAATGATAATAATTATCCAGGGTGTCACATAAAACGGTGGTCAAACTTTTTCTTTTTGCAGTCGAAGATGATTAGGTTGGAATTAGCCTTAGCTCAGACATTTCCGTTAGCATGAAACGACCCTTACATACAGGATTAATTAAAGATAGCTCAAATCACGTCTAGAATGTAAAATGCTCATAGTAAATTAATAACATTTGCTATTCAATGTACAGATGTACAGCTAAACAAAATGTACATGCAGAGCAGGACAATTATTGTATATATTTTGATTAAAAAAAAAACATTGTTAGAAGCTGAATTCAACACTTATGCATCAAAGTATTGTCACAAAAATCCATGAACAAACTTAAGAAATACAAGAGTAAAAATACTACTTACTGCTTTACAGTTAACACCCCAGAAAGATCACAAATCGCAGTAACGTTACGTTACTTACTGTCATCACCTAGCCAACATAAAAATCTGTGTCATTCAAAAGGCATTTTATTACAATAAAAAGCTCCTAAATTATCCTAGTTGTTGTGTTTATAAAGTGGTCATCAAACATGCTTCACGTTAGTTTCATTAGTTACCTTATACTTTTCGAGCTCCTTCCGATGCCATGCGCGCTTACCCGTCCACCGATCAACAGGCTGGGCGTGAGGCGGAGCAACATGTCGGGCGTGAGGCGAGCACAGGTCAGGCGTTAGGCGGAGCAACAGCTCGGGCGTTAGGCGGAGAAACAGGTCCGGAGAAACAGGTCCGGAGAAACAGGTCGCCGTTAGGCGGAGAAACAGATCCGGAGAAACAGGTGGCTCGTCAGGCGGACTCGAAGCAACAGTTCAGCCATAAGGCGAGCACAGGTCAGCGTGAGGCGGAGCAACAAGTCGGCCATCAGGCGGAGAAACAGAAAAAAAAGCGCGTGTATATTATACTAAGTAAACTAAGTGTGTTTTTTCTTATGAAAATTGTTAAATACACACTAAATAACTTACGTCTCACACAGAATTTCACTCGCTTCCCCTCAAAGACAGCGCAAAGAAAATGGCGGTTTCTCACGTTGATGTCCCTGCATGTTGACGTGACGTGCGTGCTCTCTTTCACGTCCGCGTTCCCAACCCAGCACTGCTGGGTTAGATAAAGATCGATTTTCAACCCAAATTGGGGTTGAATCAACCCAATTTTGTTACCCAGCAGTCTCAACCCAGCATTTGGGTTAAAAAACCAACCCAGCGTTTTTTAGAGTGTATGATACTGTTTTCCAGTGTAAATAGTTTCTATGGTACAGGAACTCACATCGTCAGGCCCTTTTACCAGAAAATGCCTTCACTGATGAGATAATTCAGCATGTTCACTTACATACATACTCTCTCTCTCACACACACACACACACACACACACACACACACACACACACACACACACACACACACACACACACACTGCCCTGCACACACCTAAATGTACACTCTCTCCCCACTCTCACACATTCATACACTCTCACACACACAGTTCTCTCTCTATCTCTCTCTCACACACACATTTTTGTGAATTGTGGGGACATTACATAGGTTGCAATTGTTTTTACACTCTCTCTCTCTTACACACACACACACACACACACACACACACACAGACGCACACACTTTTGTTCTCTCTTACGCACACATTATTTACTCTCACTCACACACACACAAAGACACACTCACACTTTGGGACTTTTGAAGTTTGATTGGTTAATACCACAATAAACAGGAGTTCTGTCTTCTGGAAGCACTCGTGAAACTAAACTAAACAAGCAAACTAAATCCTGCTTCACTCATTCACTTGATTTAGATTTTATTAAAAAAAAAACAGGAAAACGTGCATATTACTGTGTTAAATGAAAATCTGAAATATTGTATGGCTTATGGCTATGATTTAGTAATAATTTTTATTTATTTTTAATATGTTTTAATTAAATTGGTCTTACAGTTCATATTTTCTGTAGTATATTTATTAATTCTGGTACATTTACCATAAACCAACATCTCAACCATTTGGTAGAGGCTGATATTTTAGAAATAATGTGATGTGTTGAATAAAAATGCACTTATTGTGTTAACTAGCGACATTAGGAGTTAAGAAATGAAATCAAAAAAATTCTATTGCTTTTGTCTTGACAGTTAAAGGGTTTTTTGTAATACAATTTTGTCCTTTAATACAGCAGTCAGATACACGAACTGTGCCCTCAATTTGACCTGCTCAAAGAAAACACTCTTTCTGGATGTATCAAACAAAACTCATGCACAGAAGACAGCACGAGCATTTACAGCTAATAAACTCATGTCAATATTATCCCGCCTCCTTTTAGAGCGCTGACAGGCGGGTCTTACACGGCTATGATTGGTTATTGTCCTCAACAGAAAGGGCTTTAGAAATATATGCGCTGTTCACCCATTGTGGGGAAAATACGTGATTTTTCACAGGTAATAAGACACAGTGGAGAAAACTTGCACATGTCTGGATCCACAGCTTTAACAGCTAAGAAGAGGGGAAAAGTTACCTTACAAACTGGCCAGCGGGTCAAATGTCCAAAGTGAGAGAGCGAGAGATAGGCAGAGGTGAAGTTTTACAACATTTCTCCCTAATAGTAAACTAGCGGCTGATATGCTGTGCCGCCTCGCCCTCGCGCTTCCGTCCTTCGCCATAGTATTGCGGCATCGCGCATAGGAGATAAATGACGTCATCACGTAATAACCGGTTATGGTCTATTAATGAACTGATATCAATCATTTTGACACCCCTAGTAACGAGTAACGATGCAGCACATAAAAAATCTATCGGAGTAAAAGTATTAAACTCATGGAAAATATGTACTTAAGTAAAAGTGGAAGTAGGACAAAAAAATAATACTCCAGTAAAGTACAGATACTGCCTTTTAGTACTTAAGTACAGTAGTGAAGTAGTTCTACTTCGTTACTATACATCTCTGTATACACTTTAACTTTAAAATATCATAAAATATGCACACAAACAAGATACCAGTTGAGGTGATCATTAATATACACTTTCTATAATCGATACAACTAAAAACATTTAGATGTTTGTCTGTAACAGTGTAAACGTATTTATTTTCAATTTTAACTAATGCATTATTGAATAAATAATGTAGATCCAACTTCCACAAAACATTGTGAATTATAATTTTTTGGTAATGTTAATGTAGATTAAGTAAGTAAACTAAACTGTTTCAGGAATTCCAATACAAAAGGAAAAATGGCTTGTTTAGTTTTTGTTTCATTAATATTGGATTAATATTCCTTTGCAGCCATATCCTGTACACTTTTGTTGTCTGAGTGGCGGTCGTTTCGAACTAAAATGGTCCTGTGGTCCACTACAGTAGACATGCTGTAAAATTAAAGATAAAAACAAAATGTAAAACTCTAAATTGTAGAATTTTTTAACCCAAAGGATGTATGAAATCACAGAAAAAAATAAATAAATAAATAAAAAAAATAAATAAATACAATTTGAGTCTCAGGAGGATATAACAGTTAACTTCCGGCTGCAACTGTATCCGATCTAATAACAACTATTTGATGCACTTGAGCTCAACTATTCTCACTGGCAAAGCGTTAATAAATCAAGATGCTATTGGTAGTTTTTTTAAAAGGGGAGGAGCTATACTATGCTCCACCCTCTCTCCGTGTTTGTAGAGATTACGTCAAACATCGAACAAATTTCAAATCGCTTCATGGGATCTTTAAGCTGAATATTAATGTCATGGAAAATAAGTAGTAAAAGACTAAAAAGATCAGGTTTTAAAAATTAGTTGTTAAAACAATGACGTAAAATAATAAATCATAATTCCACAGTAACAATAGTCACAATTAAATAATATTCATTTCATATCCTTCAACTGTGTACCAATAATGTACCACTAATAATTACAGGATTACTGTAGTTCCAATTTGTCTAGCTCTTCCCCTGCCATTCTTCGCAGTGATGTGAATTATAAATAAATGAGGAATCGGTGTGACTGCCAGAGCGAGAACACACATAAAGCCGAGGTTTATGAGCAAGGTGAAATGCAACACGAAGCCATGACATTCCCCTTGCAGAAACTCCCCATCTGCTCAATAATTCACGCTGCGTCTGCCCAATCAGCCTCCCACAAGCCCTCAGTGCCAGACTCAGTGACAGACACCCCAACAGAAGGTGACTGATATATACGGGAAGCGCAGGACGGGTCAAAGGCCATCACTCTGGGCTTCTCCATGACGTACAGTCAGTCCCAGCATTCACCGCTACCTCTCGGCTCTATATATAGACGTGTTCTGGTTCTGTCCACCTGCCAGTGCGTCTAAAAATAGCGGGTTGCTCATTTTCCTCCACTCTGGCCGATCAGCTTTCAGAGTGCAACAGGAGGTGGAGAAGGCAGGGTGGAGCAACCGATACTGATACCCTTGTACTTTTACATGGCTTTCACACATGTTCTGCTGCGACTAGGCTTACGTGGATCACACCATTAAGCATGATGGCCTCCCTCGGGCTGTTTACTGT